GAAAAGAATAGGTAGGTAATTAACAAGGTAGAGTGGAGACAAGTCAGGTCCACAAGTGGCCACCATGGTGAGCCCCAGAGCCACCTGTCTGCCTCTGCAGAACTTTGCCCTGACTCCCTTCCAATCTGGGCCTTTTCTGGACCTCTTTTTCCTCTATTACAATAAAAAAAACAATCATGTCAGCATGTGTATCACTTTCACATCCAGCCTGGACTCAAGCCTGAGTCTTTCTCATCGTCCTCTGGGCTCTGCAATCTGCTTTCTCCTTTGCCCTTCACAGACCATGAGGGCGATGGTCAGCCCACTGGCACCCCAGTCTACTGCCCTAGAACCCCACAGGCCTCTAGAGCCCTCACCCTCACAGCCAGGTTCTCACTGGCCACCCTGGGCTGAGGCCAAGGTACCTGCTGCATGGGAGTTCTCAGCTCTAGCAGTGGACTAGAACCATGCACAACTATTGGACATCTGCGCCTACCTGCAGCTCTTCTGATTTAGTTGCTCATGAATAGGGCCCAGGCATTGGCATTCTGTAAAATCCTAAAGTGCAGCTGTCCAGGGTGAGTCACTGTTTATGGTTTCAGGAGGTTCGACCAGTATGGCTGTTTATATCCGCTTCTTGAGCTTAATAGAAAGTCCAGGCAGAAATGCAAAGAGCCTCAGGGGGAATTTCAGACAAACTCAGCCTTTTTCTTAAAACCTTTCAGTGGTTTTCACCGTGCATGGGATGTTCTAGAAAGCTCTGGGTGATGTGACCCCTGCCTGTCTCTCAACCATCATCTGCAGCTTCCTCCCACTGCAGCCTCTGACACTTGCAGTCTCTATTCTACTCCTCTCCTCTCTAAGAAGACAAAAAACACCCGGTGCCTGGGAGCACAACTGGTACTGAACCCTTACATTTCCCCCTAGTGGAAAAAGATACTAAGTTTCACCTCAAGAGGGCAGCATACGCACAGTCAATGGAGAGCTCTGGGCCTCTCATTTAGAACAGGTGGAGAAATTACTAGCGGTAGTTTGGCTTGTAAGTGTAAAGTCCTTTGGTTTATTTTATAGACTTGTCCTATGTGTTTTGGGAAAAAGAAATGAATGCTTGAAACATGCAAAAGTCGAGTGCTAAATTTGGTGGTTTGCATGGAGGGCTGGGAGTGTAGCTTGGGGCCTCAGTTAGCTGTTTAACCTGAGGACCTGGTTTGGGTGCCCACTACCTGGCCCCACACAGACATAACTTTCACTGATTTAGCACTATCAGCTCTGTACAAGTTTTTCCAATAAATGAATCTATGGGGGAAATGATAATAATAATAATGCTCTGTGGTTGGAAGGGTTATAGGACATAATGAATTCAAACAGGCTTAGCAATTCATAAAATGCTGTGGTATAGCATGTACCTGTTAAAGGCTAATTGTGTGACTGACAGCAAGAGAGCTGAGGTCAGAATGAAGGATCACTTCCCACTGGAGACCCCTGGAAGGCTTCTCAGAGGTGGAAGATGGGAAGGGGACACAAGTGTCAAAGCATCCTTCTCTATCACCACATCTAGTAGACACACCGAGGCAGCAGGTGCCTACCTTGCCTTTCACCTTGCCTTGTGGGGACATGTGTACTTATCTGAGAACACAGCCATGCTTGAAAGGCCGGAAACACATCGCTCTTGGCAAGGTCCGCTCCACACCACAAGTGTTGTTTCGAAGCCAATTGGACCCTATCCTGTTTCTGCTGGGGCCCCTCCCACCCCGACCTCTCATGTGTTAGTATCTACGGAAAAAAGGCTTTTGATCCATTTAGAGTCATATTACTGACACTATAATTATTATAGTTATGACTATGACCGTCATTAGGAGGAAAATAATCCAAATGTAGAAAAGCAGAGGAAGGTGGGAATTCTACGGCTCTGTGCAAAGTTAATAGGCCAATATACAGAAGGACCAGCACCCCTCCTGCCAGGTTGTCTCTGCATGGGGGGGGCTGGGTGTGTGGGCAGTCGGTGGGCCGACGAGGCCATTGTCAGAGGAATCCTTTCCCATCTCCCACTGCCCATGACTTGTCCGTTCCCCTCTCCTGATGTTGCTAGTGTCCCACGCTTCCTCTCCATCCCCTCTCCCAGTGCCCTGAGCCAGGCTGTCCTCACCTGGCACCTGGATTATTACAACACCCCATTACCACTCTGGGCTCACCCGATCCCTCCAGGGAACCCTGCAAGGATCGTCCCCAAATAGGTGGCCTCATGCCACTTCCCCACTCAAAACCAGCAGGGGCTTCTGGTTGCCCAGAGAACATGTTGAAGTCTTCCTCATGGCTCAAAAGCCCGCAAAGACCAGTGCTATGGTCTGAATGTCTGTGCTGCCTTCACACACACAAACACACACTAACACGTTGAAATCTGATTCCCCGAGTTGATGGTATTAGAAGATAGTGTCCTCAGGAGGTGATTTAGGTCCTAGAGGTGGAGCCTCTGTGATTGGAATTAGTGACCTTAGAAAAAAGGCCCCAGAAAGACCCAATCCTTCCACTGTGTGGGGACACAGAAAGAAGGTGCTGAACCAGAAAGCAGGTCCTCACCAGACATTCTGGAGGCTTTCTCGTCTACCTCCACAACTGTGAGAAACACATTGGTTGCCTATAACCTTTCACTCTAAAATATTTTAAGATAGTAGCCCAAACAGACTAAGTCATCTGGCTACCTCTTCTTCCAATACAGCCCCCAGACAGACAGACAGACTCCGGCACCTGCACCACACCACACATTAGGTCCATAGTCAGGTTATTCTCATAACCTGATCATCTAGTGGGACCTCACCACCCTACCATCTGACTTTCAAAGTCTTCCCAAGCCAGGCTCATGCCTTCTCCTCCAAATATTTCCCTGTGTTAGAATTATTTTCTCCTTCACCTCTCCTGAGTATTCGCATCCAGGATCTCCTCTCTCAGCTTTGGGCTACTCAGTTGACACTGCTAGTTCCCTGAGTCTACAACCCCTGGAAGTCAAGATCTGTACTTGATCACTGTTCCCTCCAATGTGCAGCATCAGAAAACGGTTGGGGCTGAATGACTGTCCTTTGATTTGTTCTTGCAATGGCCCTGCAAGGTGAGAACATCCCTGAAGTGGCCACATGAACAAGGCCAAGCACTGAGGAGACAGAAGCATGTACAGAGTCTAAATCCATACAAAAAACCCAAGAGTGGGCCCACCCAGGATGACATGCTGTATGCTGAAAACATGCCTAGTGCCATTCCATGAGTCATGTAGGGTAACATAGTAAGATTCCAGATCTTGTAACTGGATCCTGGTTTTATCATTTCCACCTGTGCAATCCTGGGAAGATTTCTTCACTTCTCAATTGTAAAATGAAGGTAATAAACTTCCTCATAGGATAGCAAAGGGTAAATTAGATACTATGGAATATTAACATTGAATCGAGTACATACTGATACAGAGATAGAGCTCTGTGTGATGAAATTGGCACTAAGCATTGAAAAACAAGATTTCGATTTCTTTTTAGTGCCTGGGAATAGTCGTGCAGTCCAAAGTAACATCCTAGGAATGGGGAGGAGAAGAAGAGGTTGGAAAAACATCCCCTGGTCATTTTAGCACATTCCCAAGATACCAGGCCACCCATCAGCATTTCCTAAGCAACAAGTCACTGTCCTTTCCTCCCCCATGCCCTGGGAAAGTGTACAAATTGAGCTCATTCCACAGGCCACTCTCTCCTTTTCTCAGGCCCAGTCGTGACCCTCACTTGCTATTTGATACTCAAAGAGCCAGGTATTGGCCATGTTGGATGTGGCCTGTGAACATCTTTAGGCACCCAGGAAGTGAAAGCAGCTTGCCTGAGGGAGTAAAAATCATGTGTGGAAGATGTCACTGTACTTCTTTGTACCCAGAGAAGTGTTACCTAAAGGGGAATCTAGTCTTCCTTGTACAATGCTGAAGACAGTGAAAACAAAAATAGAAGCAAAGGCAACTGAGAAGGATAGACCAAGTAGTAGTAAGGCAATCTGAAGAGTTCATATCTGGAATCAGCCTGCTGGGTCCAAATGTCTGCCTCATTATTGGCCACCTGGGAAAGTTATTTGAGAATTCTCCAATTCATTTCTTTACCTACAAGTCACAAGTATCACTAACATCTATATCACAGAAGAATTTTGAGGACTCAATAGGATACTTCAGGTAAAATACTTAGCACACTGTACAGGATAAATGCCCACTTGGTGAAGAGGATTAGCAGTGATGATGGTGGTGGTGGTTCTGATGCAGACTAGATGAGTATTTTTATCCCCATTTCATGGTTGAATAAAATCAGGTTCAAGAAGTTAAGTGTCTTTTTCAAGGTCACATAGTCACAGGGCACATTAAACTCAAGTTCCATTTTGTCGCTACCAAAAATGCAATGAGCAATCCAGAAGCCCAAAGGAGAAGAAAGAGCTGGTACCACAATGGACATTCTTTTGAGGAATCAACACACAAGGACTATCCAAACTAAAACCATGTTGTTCCTAACTTAATTTCAAATCATTACATGGCACTTGATAAAGAATATACTGAGACAGTCTCGCCTCTACTTCTCTGAGGTTGCCAACCTTGGCAGTATTTTATCATTCTTCCCCAGTCCCAATATCTGTCTACATCTGGGGTCATTTAATTCACAGGGAGTCTTATTACAAGTGGAATGTAAAAAGAGTCTCTTAGAAGGAAACTAAGTCAGCGAGTTACAGCAGCAAATGCAGAGAGGCCCCAATTTTGTCGTAAGGCTATTTCAAGAGGCCCTGGGCTGCAGGAAAGCCCATTTGTCTAGCACCCCTCCTATGGCCTATTATGTCACTGCAAGTGAAACCTGCTCAACAGCAGCATTTAAGACCAACTTACTCAAGGACCGAAGTTCAGAACTGCAGCTAGTGTTTGGACTAAAAGGATGAAAGACCCCAAGAGTAACAAATAACCCAGGGCATTATGATCTGTGGCACTCCTCACTCTGGTTATTGTTGTGATATTGCTAGGATCTCACCTTTGGCTTGTCTTGCTGAGACACACACACATCCTGCCCCCACATCTGTGTGATGGTATGGCATGTGCTTTATAGATACCTGGTGAATGAATAAATAGACGTCACTATTGTTTGCATGGGGCACACTGACCCCCACTCCCATGCCCAGTAGCCATCCTCCTGGCATCTGTGAGAGTTAACCTCAGCAGGTACCCATACACACCAGGGCCCTTGAGGGCATCTCAATAACAAGCAGCAGCCAGAGGGGTCCTGAGTCCATATGCTGTGAGTTTCCCCTGATGCCCCACTGAGAGGTGCAGGATATACTGCCTAGTGTGTTCTGAGACAAGGGCCAGCCCTCTACTTCCTTCATCCCTTTCCCCTGCATCAGCTTCAGGGGGTACTAGATATTTGGGCTCCCTGTGGCCTCCTGCCTTATATTGTTCTGCCTGCCACCTCTCTAACCTCTCTGAGCACCAAGAACCTAAGGAGACATTTTTTTAAACAGTACTAGCTTTTAAGTGCACAGATCTTGACTCTAGGACCAACTCAGCTCCTTGCTGTCCATGGGTCCTGGCAAGTCTCAAAACACTTAGTTTTTGCTCCTCAGCTTCCACATCTGTCCTCCAGGCTGTGATGAGGTGGACTAAGTGAAATGGAAATGTGAAAAGACTGAGATGGTTCCTGGCACGTTACAGGTTTTGGAAAAATTGTTAGGAGGGACAGATGGGAAAGTACTTGCCAAACTAGCATCACAGACCTGGGTTCAATACCCAAGGCAAGTACAGTCACTGATTCTGATCAGCTTTGGTCCTTAAGGCGATGTCTGTCTAGCATCGTCACACCAGGGGCTGACCCCCGACCACCTCCTCCCCAGCTCCCTGATGACCACCTACTTGCTTCCTGCCCTCACCAGACTCCCTGACCTCTCTGAGCCTCCCATTACCCAGGGAACCAGGCTTGGGCCTTGTCTGGCTGGATCTTAGGGTCAGGCCCCCCAAACATCCCCACTGGCCTACGGCAGCCCCTGTATCTTCCAGTTCCATCCAGTTTAGGGCAAAGCCCTGTGTCAGCCAAAGTCTGACTCATTTCACATCCATTTGGACACTCCCTCCCCAGTTGTCCAAAAGCTTGCCCAGCCTTCTGGAGCCTGATTCCATGCTCGCCTTCCTCTTCAGCAGGTGACTGGGCATCCTTGTCCTGATAACCCAGGCCCTGGGCATGAACCCCCACATAGCACATCTGTGTGGGGGGCTATGGAGAGAGTGTAGGAGAAATGAGAAGGGTGAAGGCACATGATGTCACATGAGGGGAAGTGTGCCCTACAGTGATCCTAGTGACTCACTGGCCATGACCCTTGAGGGCAGAGGCGAGGCCTGGCCCTGAGTTTGGCACATTGCAGCTACTCAGTAAATATCCAATTACGCAGGCCCAGGGTTGACACATAATAAATATTTTTTATTGTTTCAAAACTATCCCACAAATGTTAGTATCCAGGATCAAGTTGCCCACACCTCTGCCTTTGTTTTGTTTTGTTTTTCGGCTGCATGTTTAAACAGGAATCAGAGAGAAGCAAGCCTGTCCAACTCCGACACCCCCAGGTAACAGTTTGGGAATGAGCCACAGCACCCTGGTGAGGCTGCTGGTCTACTTGGTGCAAGGGAGACTCTGGGCTCACCCCTTTGCACGAATTTGTCCCGGAGAGGGAAGATCAGGGGCACAGGCAGGGTTCAGGTGGAAGGGTGTGTTCTCATTTTCAGCCACCACGTGTCCTCAGAGGATTGTGACTCCAAAAACCGCAGGTCGGCCAGGACATGTAGGTCACCAACCAGCAAGCAAGAGCCCCAGCTGCTGTGGGGGACACTGGCCATGGGCTGGACTCATCTCCTGCAGACTCACACATGGAGTGGACAGCAGAGACGGAGTCCAGAAGTCAGCAGAGGGAGCATGGAGACAGAAGGCACTCAGGACAGGAGCCTGGGAACTGACTTGGCCTCTGTGGCTGCACCTCAGTTTGAAATTTGGACGTTGGCCTGGATCATTGGTTCTCAAACTCAGGTGTGGATCAGAATCACCTGCATGGTCTGTTGGAGCATGGATGGCTGGACCCAGCCCCAAAGCCTCTCCATCAGCCAGACAGGGGTGGGGCCTGAGACTTTCTAACAAGTTCCAGGACGCCAACCCAGGGGCCACACTTTGAGAACCTCTGGCCTAACTGATGACTTGAGCTTCTTCTGGTTCTGAGATTTTAGAATTTCATTTCCAAGAAGCAGCACAATGAAGGGAGAAGCAACTTTATAAAATAGAGGGGAAATTTCAGAAGCAGCAAGAGAAGTTTCCAAACCCTTCACCTTGGGTTGGCAACAAGCAGATACCTAATCACTACCCAGCCTGGCAGAAATGGGGCCAGGGACTTAATGGAACTGCTCTCTCCTCCCTTCTGCTCTCAGGGTTTCTTTTCATTTGATTTTCATAGATTCTACATCTGAGACCACATTTTATGACAGCAGCTGCTTGAGTCTGTAATGAAATACTTTATGTGAAAGCACGTTAAAAATATGAACTACAAGGCAGGGGGTTTATTTTTTAACGTATGTTTCTGTTTTGTGCTTTACCTCCTTCAAAAAAAGCAAATGATGATTGCAATAAAAGACGGAGATGTAGTTGATAGGAGACAGTTGAGCAGGAGGGAATTGAACTGATTTGAATTAAATAAGAGTTTCATTATCTCTCATAGTAACCAAATACTGAAAGAGTGTGGAGGAGAAGCCGTGGGGGCTCCTACAATGAACAAGACACCATCTCCCCTAGAACTGGGAAGGGGACAGTGATAGAAATGAGCACATGGATGTGTGGGTGCTGTGGGACCTGGTTTCAGAGGTCCTGGGGGCCACATGGGGGCATATTCTTTCACACCTATGACCTTGAACTCTAGCTGGCCAAAATGCCTTGAGGCCCATGGTCCGAACATTGAGTGGCCAGGTCCCAGAATGAGAATTCAGGCACTCTGGCCTCTGGCCAATGTCTTCCCTCCCATCTCAACATCTTTCTAGGCCTTGAGATTTCTTGCCTTTGGGTACAGCAGAGCACTCAGACTTGGACACAACCCCTTCCTTCTTAGGCAGGTTTTCTGTCTATGAGGGTTCAGCTGCTCCTTCCAGACATCTGCCCTCACTTCTGCCCCCCTCCTCACAAAAACTTAGATATCTACAGAGAACGAAGGGCTGATTACTCAGTTTGACCACGAGCAATGCCACCTTAGAACCTAGGACACTCAGGCTCCTTTCCCTGGGCCATGTGCCTTCAAAGGCTCTGCTCTGGCTTCTGGTTGCCTCTTTGTCCACGATTCTTCCCACGAGGTGAGGAGTTTAGGGAACAAGGGGACAAGCCCACCCAGAACCTCACTCCATCAAGTATGCTCCTATATACACACCTATACCTTGGGGTGCCCAAGGGTGGCTGTTGGGGCAAGCATCTGTGAAAGGGGAAGAGATATCCATACATCTGTGCACAAAACCTCTCAGAGTTAAGATCTGGGGCTGAGGGCTCGGGGTAGGCCTCAAGCCTCAATTTATACTCTTGCCACAGGTCCTGTTAATACTCAGACTTGCCTATAAAACTGAGTTAAGTGCCAGCTTCACAAAAGAACTGCCTTCTATTTGTATAGGGAAGAGAGGCAGAGCAAGCCAGAGTCCTGGCTGTCTCCAGACCCTGCCTCCATGTCTGGCTCAGGAGCCAGGGGGTGGAGACATAGTCTGCACAGTCAGAGCCCCCACATGCTGGGGGATTGTCCAGCGTCACATGAGAGTCCTTCTCAGAGGGTTCAGCCACATTCTTCTCCAGAGTTGTTTCAAGCCAAGATCCCAGTTACTCCTGAGAACATCTGTAAGTGGATGGACAGCCAAGGTGGCGCCAGGCTGCCCCAGCCTCAACAACCCTGTAACCTTCTCCCAACCTCTCCCCAGGGGCAGGTTGGGCCAAAGCCCCAGGTTGAGACCACCAGACAGTGTGTGGGGTAACACCTGAGGCACCAAAGACTGGTTTTCAGGGGGCATTACTGACATTTAGACAACCTGGGGAGCCCTTTATGGTGGTGCACATCTGTAATCCCAGCACTCTGGGAAGCTGACACAGGAGGATCACATGTTTGAGCCCCACCCAGGCAATTTAAGGACTTAGCAAGACCCTGTCTCAAAATAAGAGAGAAAAAAAGGCCCTGGGTTCAATCCCTAGTATTACCTCTCCTACTCCAAAATGGGGTCAACCTCAAAAACTCAGCCACATAAGTACCAGATAGAAGAAACTCTAATTAACCAGAGTACAAGACCTCAGAATGTCAGCACATCACAAGCTTATCTGACCCCTGGCTGCTAAAACCAAAGCAGAAAACTCATGTAATCTTAGATTGCATTTACAGAAGTCTAGGATTCAAAATAAGGGAGGCAAAAATGGTCAGACCACGTTTGGTATGCTGCACTTTGTTCTAAGTAGCACATTTTTAAAACCATAATTATAAACCAGAATATTCTCTAATGCTAGTATAGCAAGGACCTTGGAAAGTAGACTTTGGAGAATTTTAAAGAAATGGCTGTAGAGCCAACAGTGGTGGTATGCACCTGTAATCCCAGCACTTGGGAGGCAGGAAGATTGCCATGAGTTTGAGATCAGTCTCCACTACATAGTGACTCAAGGCCAGCCTGAAGTAGCCTGAAGTACATAGTAAGACCCTTTCTCAAAAACAAAACAAAACATACAAACATACAAATGGCTGCTTAACCTGGGGGTGGGGTGAGACCTGGGACATTTGAGAGCCACCTTCTAATACTTGATGGGTTATATGTGAGACTACTTGCTTATCTCAACCTGAGTGTTACAAAGGGGTACAGAGAAACATAACCCATCCATAGACACTCCAGAGAAAACATGGCCATAGATATGGGGGCCCACAAAAATCCTCACACCCTTGGGCCAGAGGTTCTATTTTTAGGAACTTATCTCAAAGAAGTAATTAGAATGTGGCAAAGATTTTCCTACAATGATGTTTCTGCAGTGTTCTTTCTAATACTGAAGCATTCGAAATGACCTAAGTATCCAGTACAAAGCATAAGATCACATGTTGTGATACATCCATGTCACAGAAAATTTGGCAACCATTAAAAATGTCTTTAAAGATGATTTTATGATAAGAGAAGTGTTCACAATCTCAGTAAAAAGAATAAACTACATACAAAATCTATAGCCAATGTGATTCAAATTTTGAAAAATGCATGCTTGCCTGTATATGAATAAAGAGGAAGAAATATATTAAATACTAATGGTATGCTTAGCACTACAAATTATGATTATCAGTGATTCCTTCCATAGCAATTTTTGTATGCTTCTAAAATTTTCTGCAATGCACATGTATCATCTTTATCATCATAAAAACATATTAGTGATATTTAAAGAGTGGTTATACAGTATATGGATTAGGTGGTCAATTCTGAGATTTAGCTGCTGAGTAACAGCATCCAGTGAGGTGTCATCACCCCAGTATGAGGTCCAGATTTGCACAGAGTGGGAGGTTGAACCTGAGAAGGCTTCCAGGTCTGAGCATTGACAGGATGAAAAGGAAAATAACATCTACTGTACACCTACTGTGGATTAGTCTCTGTGCTCCAAATTTGAGATTTAGAGTCAAATAACTTCTACAATGAACTAAACCTGGTAAGAGTTGGAGTGAGGTCAGAATCCAGCACTTTTGAATCTTAAACTCACTTTGAAGTAGCCTTTTCTCACTGCAGCAGTTGGACTTGTTTCTGTTTCCAGCAGCCTGCAAAGCCTCTTGGGGTCAGGACAGATGTAGGAGATCTTCAATCTCTCTAGAAGAATTATCTCCTGATGGATTCAAATGGCTTTCAGGTGACAACCTCTCTGGGCAAGGAGCTGCTCAGGGAATAGAACACAGCTGACTTTTGAGAGTCCACTGTCCATTTTTACCAAGCTTCCTCAGGGTCAGCTGTTACATGGATCAAACTCCAGCTGGTGGATTCCTTTTTAAGTCTGTAGAACACAGTCCCTTCTATCTCTGAAGCAAGAAGGTACATCCAGCAGCAAATCTCCCTCCCCAGTTTAAAATTCCCTGAGCTCTCCCCTCTCACCTTTTCTATCTGCCCACCTGCAGCCATTTATAAGGTGTCAAAGAACAGACAGCACAGCTCCCTTTCACAGATGAGACTACTGAGTCTGCCCAGGACACGGAGAGCCAGGAGGCGAGCCAGGAGGCGAACCAGGGGTACCATCGAGAGCTGCAGACACCAAACATGGAATAATACTGTGTTGGATTTCTTGAGAGTTGTTTGAGTGAGTTCTTATTTTCATGAAGGATCTTCACTGGATGCCAACAACAACAAAAGAGCCACAGACGTAATAATTCTTAGAATTTCTGAAGTATATAAACATTCTTAAACTCCTCTCCCCACCACCACTAACTACATACACAAAGACAAACATCACACACACAAATCTCCCCCCATAAGGGCTCTGAACACCAGAGAATAGCTCTGATTTGAGCTATTCTTGGCTTTGGCCAGTATAGTAGAGGAGGCAGGTGTAGTTTTCAGCAGAATCTTGCTCAAATATAGGAGATGAATATTCCCACAGGGTGGGCCCCACCAGGTCGCACCTCCTTGCCTGAGAGAGGTAGACGTACAACCTACATTTGCAGATTCCAGGATATCAAAGGACTCAGCTCTCACTATCAAAGTTACTCACACAGGCTATCGAGATAGAAAGTTTTCTCCTCTCTCAAAATGAGAGATCGAGGTGAGAAGGCTTGAGGGAGTGCGATTTTTTCTTGTCTTCTAATTTCCGAGGCATTTTAAATATCCCTTAGTTTTCTTAAAGTAAGCTATATTTCCAAATCCCCCCTACACGAAATATTTTGTAAGAGAAGGAAGTCTTTGACAGTCAATATATATTTAAAAGTCAGAATGCCCAGCATGGGAACACTTCATTGCCATTCCCCATAACCGACTTCTGAGGAACTAAATGTACCCCCTTACAACTTCAACAACCCAGTATAGGTCTGCAGCTGTGTGACCTTAGCAAGCGGATTTGATGTCTCTGGATGTCACTGTCCTCTATAAAATGAGGGTACAATCACCAAGATGCCTCCCACTTTTACATAATATGATTCAACATGACCCTGACTGGAAAACTACAGCTTGCTGGTCACATATGCCACTCTCTGCAAGTTTTTCTTATAAATAGTTTTATTGGAACACAACCATCCATATGTTCACACTGAAGCAGCAAAGTTGAGTGGAGGCAAGAGCTGGCCCACAGAGTCAAAAGCATTTACTGCCTGAGCTTTTACAGAAAAAGTTTGCTGATTCTTAGTTTTGACCATTAGAAACTGAAAGAGATTGAATTAGACAATAAGAAACCAGACATTCTGTAGGAAGCACACAGTGAAGCATTCATATGCTGAGAATCTATTTATATTTTCAGCCTGTGTCACCTCTTTGGGATCACACAGCAGGCAGCAAACTTATGGAACGTGTTAAGTAGAACTTTCTTGTCATTGTCCTGAAACGGCTGCTTCTAAGCTTCAGTAGGTGCCCCCTTGGTAGTCACATGGTCTCTCCCTCCTCTGGTGCCTCCCCAAGCCCTAGACTTCTATCAAGTCCTGCTCACCCAGCCTCTTCCAGACTTTACTGCTGTTTATTTTTAAGTCTGTCCTCAAACAGAAGTCTCTCCCTCCCCTCAAGTGTTTTAAATTGCTCTTCTCTGGACCATGTCCAGGTTCATTATGTCTTCACAAGTGCCTATGACCAGAACTGCACATTTTCAGGAGCAGATAGAGTGTGATTTCAAGCAAAGAGAGCAATTCTGGTGATGAGGCTCAGGGATGGAGCCCAGGCTTTATGATCAGACATGAGTTGGAAGCCTGACTTTCTCACCTTCTGGTTATATGACCTTTGTTGGTGACTGCCACAGCCAAGGTGGTTGTGCCCAGTGGATGGGGGGGGTTGGTGAGACTCGGTATTCAACTAGCACCTGCGCACACACACACACATACCACCCCAGATGAAAAGTTTGCTGCTGTTGATGCTCTGTGTGAGACTCCTGCCCATAGAGATGCCAATTGTGAGTTCACTGTGTATGTATGTGTGTGTGTGCATCTGTGTACAGACATATACACAGCTAAATAAAGGCAGGAGTCCACAAATGTCTATATCTATATGCACATACATACATATAGTCATATAAATATGCAGTTGTATGGTATGTGTATATATAAGCATGCCTTTTACATATACATACATACATATATACATTTATTTTATATATTTATGTAACATTTTAAAAACTAATAAAATATATCTTCCCAAATGAGCATTAAGCTCCTGGAAGAGACTGAAACCTACCATCTTTCTGCATATCCAGTAGCCAACATGGTGTGTGCCACATCAGTATGCCCGAGTGAAGGGACACTAAAGGCCACCTTGTAGACCAGGGGATATAATCAAAAGCTATAGCAAGGAGCTATAATTGTTCAACAAATACTTGTGTGTTCACATTTTATTTAATGGCGCACAGAACCCTTGCTTAAAAAATTATTTAGTAAACACCTAGTGAACACCTAATGTGAACCAGACCTCTCAGAAGGGTGTGTCCTCTGCATTCCTTAGTATCAATTTACAGCTCTTCAGCCACTTGACAGAGCAGCTGGAAGGGCAGGGGTTGAAGAGAAAGGTAACCTCAAGTGTCCCTAGTCATTGTCACCTGGAGATAATGCACCTCTGGGATGTTAGGGGAAGCCCTGTGAATGTGAGTTTCCATTCACAAGCCCCTAATGAATACTATACCATTTAGGAAATACAAAATATCCCAACCCTTTCTGGGTCCTCCCTGGATGCTGAGCACCTATGAGGACATTTTTGTGTGTGTGATTTTTTTTTCCCTAAACAGGTTACCTGAGACAGGTTCTCAAGGTAGCTTCCTTGCCCCTTGGCTCTTAAGCAAGTGACACTGTGGCTTGGGGGCCATCACAACAGAACATGTGAGGCTCCTTCCCTAATCTAAGAGTTGACAATCTCACATGTAGACAGTCCAAAGAGCAGCATTTGAGGGCCAAGGGGAGCCCCACATCTCCCTGCCTCAACTGGGATTTGCCCTGGGGAATTCCTGGTGTTTTTGAAAAGCAAAAAAGTTGCCAAAGGCCTTTGCTTGTGGCTCCCATTACCCCTGAGCAGACCCCTATCTCTAATCAGGGATCATGCATTAATGACAGAGACAAGTCCTCCAGAAGATTAAAGGCCTTGTATAATTAAAAAGATAAGAGCCGGCCAGGGAGAAGGAAATTGGGATTCAATTAACAGGAGGCTTCTCCCCCAGCTACTCACTCCTCTCCCCTCTCTGCTATCAAGTGTTCCACTCAGAAGTGCTCTCTCCACTCACAGAGAGTGAAAGGCTGAAGGGCTCTTATTTATGGCCTGTTTGGAGTTGGGCCTGAGGCCTCCCTTGGCTGGGCGTTTGTTTACTTAGAGCCCAGGGTGGGGGGGACAAGCAACACAAACCCTGCTGGAGGAGGCCACAAGGTGCTTTTGACTCCTTTTCTTTCCTGGCTCAGTTCCTCTGATCTTCATGACAGGGGAAGAAAAATACTCAATAGAAGGTCTATTTCCTTCCTCCCTCAGCCTGAGGCTGACACAGCAGGCTAAGGGTCAGTGCTGAGAAAGCTCTGAGGGGTTATTTGTGTTGGGAAACCATGCCACTTCCCCCTTTCCGTCTTTCTCAGGTTTCTGTGGAGGCAGAGGAAGATAAGGTTGGAGAGGCAGCTGTCCAAATGGCCAATGAGACCGGATGTGTAGGGTGACCAGCCCTGAGGGAACCCCACTTCTGGGGATCTCCCAAAGGGTTGTAAAGCTGGGGCCACAGGCCACATGGGGCTGTGGGCTAAGCTGGCATCAGCAGGATAGGGGCAGCATGGTGGACTCCAGCAAACATTAGGTCTGTTGGGTTGGCTCCAAGCAGCCTTTCCTGTCAACCATATTACTTTACAACTTGCTAGTAAAGGCGGGCTTCCCTTTACAAATAGAATGTGGAAGGCTCTTTCGATGGAAAGGCTGTGTCCTAAGACTCTGCTCTTTCTACAAGATGTTGAAGTTGACTCTGCTGCAGTTTTCCCAGCCTCTCCTTACAGGCTCACAGAAGGTGTCAGAATCTACCCTGCTAGACAGCAGCTCCCAATCCCTTTGTGGGCACTAGAAGATGCTGAAGAAGTTGCAAGACTAAGGAGGACAGCCTTGAGGAAACCAACCCAGGATATCTGGAACCAGAGGGCAAAACACAATACAACAGCTGGAAGCAGCAGAGAAATGCACAGATAAAAAAATAGTCTAGGTACTAGATCTTGCTCTATGCTCACCTAATCATCTGGAAGCTGTATTCAAGGCTGCACAGGAACTTCACTTAATATACCATAGACATTTCAAGCTCATAAGGGTTTAAACCAAACTCTGTATTTTAACCACTCAATATCTTTTCTTTCTATGTCCCCTACTCCAGCAAATAAATGCCTCAATTATGACTTGCTAAGCATTCATTTTTCAATCCACACAATGAAGGGAACAATGCCAACTCTTTCTACCTCAGGTGACAAAATCAAATGTGAGCCCAGACACAGATGCATGTTGGGAAATATCAAATGCGAAACAGATCGCAAAGGCCGGAGGCCACAAGTGCTGCCCCCAACCCTCCTCACCCCCCCAGCAGTGACCTCCCAATTGACTGGAAGTGGAGGCTCTGTCCCATATGACATGAGCACTGATGGCTGTGTAAACCACAGTGGGCTGCACCTGCAAGAGGACGGCCAGCCTGTGCAGCTTGCACAGAGACCTCCCTCTGTGCACTGCACAGCCACTTCTGCAGGACCCTGTCACAGTCTAAGCCAAATTGTTGCCATAGATCAAGAGATTGACAATGATAGCAGGAATTTTCAGCTAGATGGAAGACTGGAGCAGGTTTGAGAGGGAGCTATTTGGAGCAAACAGTGATGTAGTTACAGAGTAAAGACTTCAGAGATAAACAGCTGTATCCCCAATTTCCTGGAGGAGTTCTTTAAAAATAAAGGGTATAGGGCCAGAGATTTAGCTCAGTGGTTCCGCTGCCTGTCTTGCAAGTGCAAGGACCCGAGTTTGATCCCTGGTACCAAAAAAAAAGAAGGGTGTGGCTGTCAACCTTCACCAAGACTTCCAATGACTCCCACTTCCTGGAATTCACACCCTTGTGTAGTCAATCCCCCCACCCCAGACTGAGTAGGGATGACCTGTGGAACCAATGGATATTGAAGGTATCTCAGTGTATGACTTCTGAGCCTATGTCATAAAGCCCACGGGGACTTCTGCCTTGAATTACTTACTCTATGGAAGGCCAGATGCCATGGCATGATGACACTCAAGCAATTGTATAGAAAGGGTCACACAGTGAGTGCCGTAGCACCTGACAACAACCAGCAAGAAACAAAATCCTCCTGCCAACAGCCACGTGAATGAGCCAACTTGAAAGAAGATTCTCCAGTCTGGTCTAGCTGTCAGATGAGAGCAGCCCCAGCCAATGACTGAGAGCATATGATCAGAACCTTCCAATCATGACCCCATAAAACTGTGAGATCATAAATGCTGTTGTTTCAGTTCACCAAGGTTGGGAGTTATTTGCTGTATAGCAACAGGTGACAGATACAAGGTTATATACTACTAATAGTGGGGAACCAATGGCACATATGTTATATCTTTTTCTTTTAAGACAAAAAAAGTGAATGTATGAGTTGATTTTTTCTAAACTAAAACCCCAGTATTCAAGTTTAATTGCAGTGTTGGCACTTTGTAATAAATAAGTGGGTTTTGAGTTGGAGTTTGGCCACTTGTCTCTAAAAGGTTCACCAGCACTGGATACCATTTCCAGTTATGTGCTGAATTTTCACAATGTAGTCACATTGCTATCTCATTTTATTTAT